CGTTCCAACGTCTATTTTTCAATCTTCTAACCTGTAAGCGCTTGTCACTGCATAAGTATCTGCGGGGTAGTTTTCCAATAAGGTTATCGGCGCTACGGGCACGTACTTTCCGCACACTTTGGAGTCACTTCAGTGCGGACACCTCGACCTTTGTTGGCATGGTCATATTACCCGCGCACGGGCTCCGGGTTGAGCCGTGCCTTTGAATGCACATTTCGCGATGAGCTAAGATGTCTCCTGTTGGAAAACTGAGCAGGTCCACGGCTGCAGAAATGAACTGCTTTTGCCACTTGTAAATTCCCTCTAAGGAAGCTAGTTTGTGATAGTATGACGTCAATGATGTTCTGGCTCTTCGGACGACTATACACCACTGGTCTGCGCCTTTTCATCAAAGCAGTGGTCGCAACTTTGAATTCCAACATTGAAAACTAAAATTTCTCACCTTTCATGTTGTTGAAAACTAAAATTTCTCACCTTTCAGTGTTGGAACTGGTATTTTTACTAAACAGTTTTGTCAGCTGTTAAATTTCAGGTATGATCGGATCGATAGCCATCCCAATCATACAGCAGACTGCAAACTCGGATATCGCCTACACTTGGAGTGTAATCTTATCGTTTCTCTTCCCCACTTACAGCATTGCAAACATTTTCGCAGTGGTACGTTTGATCGTATTTGAAAGTGCTATTTCACCCAAAGTGACTCTATTTCGGTATAGAATGGTTCAGTGCGGATGGTGAGGCATCTCAGTGAGGCTGAGTTTGGCCTGCCGCCGGCTCGTTCTGCACCAGTTGTGGGTAAACGGCAATAATCTGTGGAAACGGACTGGCGCCGAGCCAAGCACTGCCACCCCCACCTGCCCTTAACCGCACAGCAAAACGAGACTATATTTCCCTTCGACTTCACTTCAAGTGCTGTTCGCTGCGATTGGGCCGTCGCTCAAACGCGGAATGCAGTTTGGCGCGTCTGCCAAAACCCGCCTCCTCGCAGATGTGTTAAAACGAGCCTATGATATGACTTATCATCGTTCGTATTCACTCGTTTTCCACCGATTTTTTGTCGCATGCGCGCTTTAACGAGAAGGCAGAGAACAGCTTTAACGGCGTGACACACTCATACTGCCTGACACGCCCAACCATCCGCAGCGAAGTAGAGTATAAGCTCAACTTGATTCAGTGAGAGTTGGAAGTAGGTGGTTGATGTTTGTAATAGGAGCAGAGAAAAGGCAGCTAGCAGTCTAGCCTATACTATCGCTATCAGTATCCTTTTCTACAATCAGGCTTGTCAGTACCTTGTCGTCTTGCCCTAGGAGCGCAGTCTGAATTGGTCGTAGCGGCGGAGCCGGGCGGATTCCATTATTGCTACTCTTTCCCTTCTTGTTTTCCTGGTTTTGAAATAATAGTTGGCATCGAACAGGGAGGCACAGCCGTGTGACTCTGCCTGCACGGCCAGCGTAGACGCTGCTCTTAGAGAGCGTTCAGACTTCGCGCTCACGCGCTGTGATGGGCGTCGACGGGTACAGTACCAACAGCGCCCCAATCTTATCGGCGCCAACATCACCGCAGACGGGAATCGATGGGCATCGGCCGCTCGTGTATTGCATGCTTCTCGTATCGATCGGCTCTGGCCGCTAGGGCTCTGGAAAGCACAAAGAACAGGAGAGTATTCAGACTAGATGAAGGAAGCGTTTGCCCTCCTGCTAACCTACACTCTCTCAAAACACAAGCGGCCGGTGCGAATCAATTCCCTTCTGTGGCTGCGTTCGCGTCTATAGCACTGGAGCGTTGTTGCAATTGTAGCGCGCCAACGCGCGTCATTGCGCGCGTCGCCTCAAATACGATTTGGCTTCAATACCAAAAAAATATGAGATGCACAGTTCGAGAGAGAAAGTGATTACCTCTCGAAAAAATGGCAGTGTAACTTTCATTAACGCTACAAAAGTGGAGTTGTAATTACGGTTACTCCATATGAGCCGTCAGAGAGACTCAGCGCTGCTTCAATGCTGCAAACAGGTTTCACCTATCTGCCCCTTATTAATCAAACACTTATTGATTGCTACCCGTTGAAGAGTTTGAAAATCACAAGGGATACTCGTCTGCTGTAGAGGCCATAGATTCCTCTCCATACGCGTCACAATTGCTCTATCTGGCTCGCCACTAACCATAGCGCCCTAGCGCCATCGCGATCTACATCACAACTGTCGCTTTTCCAGGTGTATAACAACGAATTCGGCAAGCAGGCTTGCCAGATGCTTGACTGTTCGAGTCCGCTCTATGAGAAGAATCTGGAATGCTGCGGTGGAAAAGACGGTAAGTGTTTGGTAATACTGGAATGCTGCGGTGGGAAAAGACGGTAAGTGTTTGGTAATTAGCACCATCTTGAGACCATAAAGCACGATTTACTTAGTTAGGAAGTTGGCACGATAATTTTGTACTTCGGCCTGAAATGCTAGCAGGGCGCTATACAATGGGAAAATGGTGAAAAAACGGAGTGAAACAGTCAAAAATCCTGCGAAGGAAAAGCCTTCGTTTTCAGTGACTTAAAAAATCAATTTCGGACGACTTTTCCGTAGGCATCTTTCTAATACCCGCTACGGTAGATACGGCTGCAAGTATATATGTATTCATACATATATCCATGCAGCACCTCGGCCGCTTCATACTAATCCCTTCATTTCATAATTTGCCTTAGAAATGAATCAATAGAAGCTGTCAGGAATGGTCGTCGCATTTTGTGGGCGGCGAGGGCGTGATGGACGGCGTTCGCGTCGTACGTTGTAGCTTGATGGTCCTCTTACATAGGGTACTCTTTCTTGGGGAAAGGCGCTACGTAGCTGGCCTGCTCAGGGTCGCGGAAGCCCGTCCGCCAAGCGTATTAATCCTACTCGTCTTGGGGATTTATCGTGCCAAATACCTTTAAAAGCTGCGTACATCGCATGATTTAGTGGGTAGACAGTTCTGAGTCAAGGACCCAAGAGAAACAGCAAAAGAACCTTATCGCAATTGTACTATAAGTATGAAGCTGTGACGTCCAGTCGATAATGGAATAGCTGCGTATTAGTTGGGCGTCTGGAAACAATAACAAAAATTCAGTTTTTTCGAAACTTCGAAAATGTTCTTTCTCCAGAAACATTGTGATTTCGTTGGGAAGTCTACTTTTTTAGATTCTGCATTATAAGAGTTGTTCCGCAGCAAGAAGTCACAAAGTTCCCACAAATTCTGTCTTGCGCAAAATATAATGCTTCCGCTGAACAGTGAAGCGCATTCAGACTGACGCTTGGGCCTGTTTACTGTCGCGTTTAATTAGCTCGCTGTTCTGTCTGGGGAACAACAGCAGTGGGAGAATCCTATCGGGAGTCGTAGTAGGTAGTGGGAAAGGGGTCCTATGTGGTCAGTAAGGGTCGTACTGGCTCCAAGAGGAATTCCCCCGTGACACGCAAGTCTTTTCTCTTCTTACGAGCTTTTCGTAATTTTTACTTCTCACCATTTCTTCCCCTACCTCTCTAGCGGAGCCGAACAGCTACTGACTTACATCTTATTTTAAGTAGATGTATTGCGCCACCTCTCCCTTTCCCTTTCCAGCTCTGTGACGGTTACCCTGGCGAACAAGGTGGAAAATTTCTAATAAGGATGGGGGAAGAGGGGACGTACGAGAAGTGGAAATCTTTGACGGGGTTGTACTGGCACCGTTATTTCTCTCATCCCGTTATTGTACCCTGGTCTGCCCGCCCCTGAACTGTGTCACACCCATAAATTTGCACGCCGTCGCGCGAAAGCCTCCCACTTCCAGGCTCCGCCATACGCTGAAGATTCTAGTGGGAGAGTGGGGCTCTCGAGGACAGAATTTTCTCGTCGTCTCGATCATGCTGTGCTCGCTACACTTCATGCCAGGGCCGGTCAATGTTCGTTCACTCTGGAACACTGAGGGGTGCTGAAAACCGTGGATGCTACTCACAACTGTGCTTTTCAGCCCAACAGACCAAACACTCGCGATTGCACTTACCTGCCTGCATCTTTCAGATTGCTCACTTGATAGTTCTATTACTCAGAACACCTCATTCTCACCGCGCTACTCCCCGGTCACTGATCACGTCACCCCTCCATCTGGCCAAACTCACGCTACCAAGGAATAACGCTCCTCACCTTCTCGTAGGATCCCCTTGCAGCAGCTGAAAATTTTATCGTGGTCTGAAATTACGAGTTCCTTTCCAGATCGAATTTATACAAACAACGTTCTCAGTGATACCGGGCGGCACGGGATTATGTTGCCACTGATCTTCTTCGCATTTGAGGTAAAAATGTTCACATCTACACCCCGCAAAACTATTGAAACTTACTGTTCTGTCGACCCGTTCTATATTTATAAGTGCAAAAAGTTAATGGAAACTGATCATCCTCCGTTCACGAACAGAATTCCTTTCGCCTTTTCATCTCAGGGCTAACTAATCACGTGGCACAGGGAACACGTTGCATTTGTTGAAGATGATGAGGTTCTTTAGGGCCCACTTTAGAAGGGTTATGGTTTTGTTAGGGCATAAATAGCACAATCGGGGCAACCATCACATTGTGTAAAATTTTTGCTAAATGCAGCCCCATTCTTAGAGTTTCTCCTCCGGTGCTACCTCCT